ACGGTGAGGAGTTGTTAGCCCCACGCCCAACTCCCAAGCTGGAGGGTCACCCCTTGTCGGCTGTCCGAGACTGCTTATTCAACATATTCACAGCTTCCCTCCAAAACTGGAGGGCGCCTCCTCCATCCCCAGCCTGAGGACGCGCCATGCCGTGGTGACAAGGGACCCACCTAACATTGCCTCTAGTTCTGTATGGGTGTGAAAATTGGTCTCTGACTTTAAGGGAGGAACATAGATTGAGGGTGTTAGAGAACAGAGTGTTGAGGAGAATATTTGGACCGAAGAGAGATGAAGTGACAGGAGGTTGGAGAAAACTGCATAATGAGGAGCTTCATAACTTTTACTCTTCTCCAAGTATAATTAGAATGATCAAGTCAAGGAGGATGAGGTGGGCAGGGCATGTAGCACGAATGGGGGAGACGAGGAATGCGTATAGGATATTGGAGGGAAAGCCAGAAGGAAAGAGACCACAGGGAAGACCAAGGCGTAGGTGGGTGGACAATATAAAATGGATCTTAGAGAGATAGGATGGGATGGTAAGGACTGGATAGATCTGGCTCAGGATAGGGCTCTTGTGAACACGGTACTGAACTGTTGGGTTCCATAAAACGCTGGGAAATTCTTGAGTAGCTACAGAATTGGTGGCTCCTCCAGAAGGGATCAGCTCCATGAGTAAGTAAGTAAGTTGGGGCTCTCCTTCTACAGTGAATATTAATTTGGTATGTGTTGTGTTGAACTCTTCTAGTGTGTTTTCAGTAATAGTGTTATGTGCATTAGTATATCATCTACGTATCTGAGGCAGTCACCTGATCACAGTGGCCGCGTGGTCTAAAGCATGAACTGTCTTCGCCCGCTCGAACACTAGAGGCGTGTGTTAGAATCCCTTGCGACGGGCTGATCCCTCGTCCAGGGAGTCCTATCGAATTTGTATAGGATTAAGAAACTGAAGAAGCGGCCAAGACCCAACAAAGGTCTCTAGAACCATAGATAGATAGACATATCAGAAGCCTTTTCTAAGTAGATTTAAGTAATATTTGCTGTAAACTACGTTTTGGTTCTAGGCTTCATAGTTGTCTCTGTGCTTATTTAATTAAAAACCAAGTCATGAAGTCAAATGGGGCAATGGAGGTGTGGCTTCACCTTTCTTGACCTCTGCATTAGATGGATGTGAGTGGTCAGTTTCATGCCCCGGCCGTTTTACCTTTCTAGAGAAACTACCAGTTACCCTAGTTGACATGCAGGATGGGACCCAGGGCCAGCATGGACACAGTGGAAAACAGAAAAATCCCCTGCCTGAAATCGAACCCCTGTTATCCAGCCCGTCGCTTGAGCCATCTCATCTCCACCATAAAGATGGTTGACCCGTTTTGGGGGGGCGTATTTCAGCACAGCCATATTCTTTTTCGGATATAATGAAAGGAGCCCTATATAAAAATAGGAAGAAAATTAAGAAAAATATGGCTGTCGCTGAAATATACCCCCCCCCCATAGGGTCAGTCATGTTTGCGGCGAAGGGTGCCCAACTTCCGCGTCTGCGTAAACCGATCCTAAACACCCGCAATTGCAATCGATCAGGACGACAGCTAGAGGCAAGTTTTCTAGAAGTACTCTCATTTTCACTCTGTATTATTTATCACTTAAAAGACATCGAAACCAGACTCACCGTACCCAAGGTTGACTCTAATACCATGATTCCCAAACTGTGTTCAAGGGAAAGTCGTGTTCCGTGACCCCCGGGGGGGGGGGGCGCTGTAACAACTAATGGCACATCTGGGCTCTAAATATAAATGTGATAGTAATTTTCAGTATCCTAGCTCAGTAACTCAGTCGTTCAGTGACCCAAGAACCGCACTGGATGGCTGACCGCACAGAATTGTCAATATTGCTTCTGTCACTGTAAGCGAGCCGAACCGTAATAGCAACAAGACGTCACACCACTGTCAAAAACATCCCGCACTTTCGAATGTTTTTCGTAAGGACATTATTTCCAGTGAGGAAACTTCTCCTTTCTCGACCCTGTTTAGTTACTGTTACTGTTAAATATCATGGATATTTCAATTATTTTGTGTTGTGGCAGTTTTTTTCCCGGTCTATAAAACCGAGATTAACGGCCGTGGGGATCCGCCGACAAGCGGCGGTCGCTCGGTCTGTATGGTTCGCTTGCGGACTACAGACCACGGAGTTCGTTTTAGTTTTTTGTGTCAGTTTTTACACTTATAGTGGCCGCCTGTTATAGGCTGTTTGCTTTCGTGTAGTATATCTAATACTGGACTTTAATTACATTATTATTATTATTATTATTATTATTACTGTTATCATCATCATCATCATCATCATCGTGTTCTTGTTGGTTTATGTATGTATGTACGGGGGAAAGCCAGTAAATAGGTAAAAAATGTAACTAAAACAGTTATAATGGACGTAATTGGTTTCTTATATGTATCACTAGGTAGCAGCACAGTCCAGCTTCATGACAGTCTAGGTAGCAGACCCACACGCGCATGTCCAGAGGCTTGTTTCAGTAGTCAAAATGGCGACCGTGCTTAAGGATTGTACTACCGAAGAGCAGAGTTCTGCTGTGTGCTTTTCTGTAGGCAGAAGTTCTTAGTGCAGAGGATATTAATAATGAAATAATTCTTGATTACGGTGGGAAGTTTTTGTCTCGTAAAGCGGTTCACAACTGGGTGGAGAAATTCTCTGAAGGACTTTCGAAAGCCGTGGATGATGCCCGACCAGGCGCGGAAGTGGCTGAGACAACAGTCAAAAGACTTGTGTGCTGCGGGTTTCGACGCACTGGTAAAGCAATGTTGGTGGAGGCTATATCGAGAGAAAAAAGTTTTTTCCTAGGTTCGAATATCAGATATTTTACGTTTATAGCCATTTGTGGACGATTTACTGACTCTGCCCCGTACGTACGTGCGTACATATGAACCGTGTTCATTTTATTTTGTCAGTTTATTGCTTTTTTATATATTTTTTCGCAATATAAAGTCATAGTTTGTAGACATATTTAGCAAATTGACGTTTGAAGAGCGTTTGTTAGACACAGACTAAATTCTAATATTAAGATTCATCCCAGTAGGACGAAGTAGGCTCTTATGTATCAAGTATTAGGAGCATGAAAATGTCGAAACCAACAATTATTTAATCCTTCAAGGACAGTAAAGGTAAAAATTGTCGCTGTGCCTAACTGATTAATCACTACGTCGTGAAAAAATATGGGAGAGTGGATGTATAGATCCAGGTATTCCTGACCTCAGCAGTAGTTGGAGGCGAGTGGTCAGCTTCAGCTTCACGTTCCGGCCGCTTTACCCCTGCAGAAAGAGCTCCCATAACCCATCCTTTATAGCACTGCGTTTATGTGCCACGTGCTCTGCATTTTGCTCACGACTAGATGAGTGTGTTTCGTAATATCTCAAAATAAACAATGAATGTATCCCTAAACAGCATTAACGATTGGGGTATATAATTAATGCTCAGTGTAATTCGTGTGAGATGGGATTTGAATTTTTAAATATTTAGAAGTAATTCTTGCTTCAAGAGTTAACAAAGTAACAGATGCTCTGACGGATGAGCTGACAAAGCACGATTGCCGTTTCCACACTGTACGTATTATTAATTCAAAATGTTGGGGAACTTTTTTCTTGTTCACGTTACATAACACCGGTGAAGGAAGACTGTGTCGTAGGAGCAAAGCGCTTCGTGTTAATGTAACTTTCTGTTGGTAGCCTGTGTCGGCCTGTGTCGTTCTGCGTCACAGCTGCCAGGCTACGAAACGTCGATCCTGGAGTAGGTCGAGATTGTTGGTGGCCTTGGTGCACTTTCTGAAGGCCACGTTCAGGCCTATTATTTTGCTTACATATATAGGTTCTGGATTTTGGCCTTTCTGAATGAGCCCTCGTCCATTTTTCCATATTGTTTTAGTTTTAATTAAGGTAATAAACTCCTTGGAACGTATTCCTTCTCAAGAAGATAGTAATCTCTCGACTAAAAAGTCATTTCCGTGTTCAGAAGAGCCCTCATCTTGACCCTATTCGAAAATGAAAGAATCCAATCCACAACTTCCAACGGTAATTATTTTAAGATTATCCTCCCATCAACGCATAGGTCTTCCATGCGGACCCTTCCCTTCAGGTATTAAACCAAAATTTTGTAAACATTTATAATTTATCCCATGCTTGAATATGTTTTACGGCCAGGAGATGTTGATTTCCGGCCCAATCCCCAAGCCGATGGACTACCCCTTACCGGCTATCCGTGACTGCTTATTCATTGTATTCAGAGCCACGCACGGAGGCCGTTTCCTCCGTCCAAATCCCCCGCCTTGTATATGGTGGGCTTTTGTGAATGCGCAAATGATCCTCCACATTACAGCGTTCACAAAAACCTTCTATTGGACTGTATGAACCACGTTATATTATACTTCAAAAATATTTTATATTGAAATAAATGCTTATGATATCGTGTCCATGTGGCCGTCGACACTTTGAACTGACCGGTGTCTATACACGGCACTCTGTTCAGATCCGGCGCTCCTAGCCTCTCTGCAATGCCGCGCTCTTTCGGGAGGAGTCTGACTCAATCTCATCTCTTTCCCCCTCCCACAGCTCATCCACTTCCCCACCCGTCTCGACGCAACCCTTGCTGGGCATGCCAGCTATTTTGACGGGAAGGTCACATGACATTACTGCCGCTGCCCGCCCCAGACAGTGCGGGGCGTGGGGTGGGGAGAGGAGACGAAAAGCGTTACCAGGCGGCGACACGGTCTACTGCGACGGCCTCCGTGCCAGTTAGCGCTCCTACTCCCTTGTCGGCCGCCATTATGCGGCAATATTGATATCGGCTACAAGTATTACGAATAACAGTATACAAAACGTTTCGAATGAATGTAGGTTCTTGGTGTTTGGTTTTCCATTTAATGGCGTGATCCTGGCAAGCTACAGTTCCATATTCATCTACTGAACTTTGGCGAGGGAGGCGGAGCAGTGAACGGAACAGCCTTATCATGGACCTAGTAGGCAGTAGGCGAACTAGCCGCACGGAATCGGCAGACATGTTTGGGGAAACGTCTGGGTTGGTCGTCGAGTGAGAGGTATGATGTGTGTGGTGGACTGGGTGCGCAGCGCTCGGTCCCCTTGTATTAGCGATAATTTTTGTGAAGGAGAGAAAAGGAGCATTGTCTTCTCCGTGTACATAAAGAAGTGAGTTACTGCCAAAGATGATGGAAACGGTGGTAGGAGTGTCCAAACAACAGCCGTATAGTCCGCATCTCAAGAAAGTACTGAAGACGTACCAGTTGAGTGCGGTGAAGAGCCTTCAGGGGCCTAGTACTTTGCTTGGCACGGCGGCTGTGCACGGTATGGACAAAGGGGTTGCGGTTACAGCAGTGGGGACCTCTGCCATGACAACTACGGTGACAGTGGTTCCGAAGAAGGAACCGGCGCCACCCTCAGCCTCCGATTGTGGTGATGTGTTCATGACCCCACCGCCCTTTCCGATCCAGCAGCTTCCGATCCTGACGACTCCAGATCAGTCCCACAGTGAGCTTTCTGAAACTGTCCTCGAGGGTGAAACCATTTCGTGCTTTGAGGTGGGCGGCGAGAAACGACTCTGCCTGCCACAAGTCTTCAACAGTGTGCTGCGGGAATTTAGTCTCTTCCAGATACGTCAAGTGTGTGAGGAGTTTCGGATTTTCTTCTCTGAATGCAATAAAGAGCAGCTCATAGTGCTCAAAATGACAGGTATCCTTCCAAAGACTGCCCATTCGTGTGGGCTCATCACAAAGACAGACGCGGAAAGACTGTCCATCGCTATGCTGCACCGAAGTGCAGTGAATAAGGCAACAGTATGCCACGAAGGGGCCCTGTCCGTCAAAGTGTACCACGAGTGTTTCGGAAAGTGTAAAGGCATATGTACGCCGGAGTTATACACTGACAGTAATGCACAATGTATCGAATGTGTGGAGTGCCACGGTATGTTCTCACCTCAGAAGTTTGTGTGCCATGCTCATCATTTTCGGGAAAAGCGCACCTGCCACTGGGGGTTCGATCCCAGCAACTGGCGTTCTTATCTTCTGATTGCTGAGGATCAGGAAGAGCATGAACATTTAGCCAAGGTGCTGGAGAAGTTCAAGGAACAGCACGACAACACTGTCAACACGTTGCAACACAATAAGCGGAAACAGGTACATCTTAATGCTGCAATATAACAATTTAAATGCAATTTGTTGATGTATTCAGTTCATTTTGATGCAGAATCTGATTCAGGCGGAAATTAAATACGGATATTAGAATTAAGGATGGGAAACGTAAATGCAGATGATTTTATTACTGTATTTCAAGCCAGTGGACACTGAAGAAAAAAAAATAATTACGGGTATTAAGAATTAAACCAGGGTTGCAATAACTACAAGTGAATAACTTCGGTAATTTTTGTTTTCGATTTTATTACTTGATGAAAATGATGGAGGCTGTAGATAAAATAAATGTGGATACTGGGAATGTTACTAAGGTTTCAGGCTTGAAATACAAGTGATTAAATAAGTTATTCTTTCACCAGTTTCTGTGTATACATTGGTGCAGGTGGCAGTTGTACGTAAACTAAATATGAATATTAGAACTGAAACAAAAGGTCGCAGGCTTTATATACGAGTGAGTATGGTTGGTGCCAATTTTCTGGTCTGTTGTGCCTAAAGTGAAGTTGGGGATCATGAGAAGGAATAAATACTGTTATTGCAATTAACTGGATGTAACTTGCGGGCAGTTGCCATGTCAGGAAACACAGAGAACAAATCTGTTTACCCAACTCGGCTTGTGTAACAGTTGTGCTTGCAGTTTTTAAGGTTCCCAGGCGGGATATGGACAACAGTGATAGATTTCTCATGATTTTTCTCAGTAAATCAAGACGAATAAGATGGTGGTGGCTTAAAATAGACCATTTCATTTCCACATCCCTCCTAAATCGCCAATTACAATCACCGTGTCGTTTCACATTCAGCGCTGTAGTTCATAGCACAAGAAGTTGGCAGTGCTCAAGTTAATCAAAGATATGAGATAGTTTGCTTTACTGGTTATTTTAACGCGTGCGTTAAAACGTCATATGGCATGGGGTTAGTGAATGGCCAGTTGCAAGGGATATGAATGGAATCGGACGCTACTGTTTTGAGGATTATTGAAGCAAAAGGTAGTCCTGAAAGACAAGAAAAAACCTTGGAAGAAATAATTGGAAAATTTAACGATATAAATAGTGCTGATGAAAATAAATAAATAAAAATATCACGGTAGAACCTTTATTTAAACCCTAAAAAAGACAGTATAATCATTCATCGATAGAAGACTCAGAAGTTGTACTTGTTTTTGGAACGTAATAATGTATTTTTTTTTAAGAAACTGTCAAGTTTTGTCTTAACAGACAATTGACTCATCTGCCTTCCAAAATGCCTTGTGTCATTTAAAGTATGTATTCTACTCTGAACAGCATTTTTCAAGTTTCGATCCGGATTATTGAGGGTGTACTGTAATATGCAAGCATGAATAAGAAGTCTCAAGTTAACACAGCATAGCGCTGAGGTTAGGAATATATGGAGCGATATAATGAATTCTGCCAATATTATCAATTAAATTAGAAAATCCGGAATATAGTCCAGTATTGCCAACATGTGACATAAATTTAATCTCTGTAACTCTGAAAGAAAATCAGCTCGGCCCGTGACGAGCGGGCGATAGTAATGGCTGTTGTTTGCCTACGGTTTCGAACCGTGGAACAGCAGGACGTGATAACCTTGGGATGGGAGCAGCATCGTGTAGAGAGATTGCAGTTATCCCTGCTGCTATGTGCGTGTAGTGAATAGTAATAGGGACCCGCCAAGACAGACGAGAGTCTCTGCCGCGTTCACGAACGGTAGCAATGAAGACAGTGTTAGTCATCCAACGATGCATGGTCAGCATGTCTTATATAATAACTCGGCTCTCGGATGATTACTTTTACGTATCATGAAGGAAAGTGCAAAATGTGCGCTGTTGGAACATAAACGAATTGAAGACGGTTTAGAAAAATCAGCCAGCTGAAAGATACCTATGTATATTCCACTGCAACAGAATAGAGTACGTGTCTTCACCCCTTGTGTGTGTTTGGGGAGGAGGGGGCATTGTACACATTTTCTTGACATCGGCACTAGTTCGAGGCGACTGGTCAGCTTCAGTCCCCTGTTGCTTTACTCCCGGGGAAAGAGCCCCCGGTACCCAGTCGATAGGAGGCTAGGTGGGCCCCAGGGCCGGTGTGGGCGACGCGGAGAAGAGAAAATTCTTCACCCTACTGGGAGTCGAACTCCGACCGCACCGTCGTCCAGCCCATAGCCAGTCCCTATACAGACTATTGAGTACCGATATGTTAATACGGAGACAGACTATCTCGGTCGATATAGTGACGAGGCTGTAGGCTCGAAGACCGAGGAATTAGGGTTTGATTCCTGGCGGGGGCAACATATGTTCCGTATTTTCACGGCGTCCAAACCCGTCTCTGGGCCCACACAGTTCCATATCTGTACCGAGGAGACGTTCCCGGGGCCGTGGCATGATCGCGAACCTGAGCGTTCGTCTTCTTCAAGCGCCGAGGTTTGGAATGCGTGGAGCAGCATCTCCACATATCCATATATGTTTATGCCATATTTCTTAATAGAGTGCAGGGTGAACTTTATACTATCCGAAATAAAATTCAAATACGTTATTGACCGAAACGATTTTATTGTTACGAAATTGTGTTGACTGCAATCAGGAAATATTGTTGAAATAAATATAAGAACTGTCAGTAGATAGCCTCCATTTTGAAGCAGATTATGAACTGCGAACGGAGCGAAACGATTCGCAGGGCTTGCCACTTCGCTGTAAACAGAACTCTAACTTATAAATGATATTGATGTATTGTGATGGTTTTGTTTGTGAAGAAGAGTCAAGGCAGGTCTCTGAACTCGCGAGGGGCCCAAAGTGGTCACACTTCCGCCTGTGTACGCCACTGACCGAGACAATACCGAGTATTATGTAATCGTCTTTTCTTATTGATAGGTCCCTGATCGACACAGCTCGGAATATTGTGAAATTATGTTCCCTTGTCGCATAGATAAGGCAAATCTGGCCCTGTGCTTAAATATTTAAGCATTATGCCATGAAGACGTATGGGGTAGTGGAAGTATATAGTTCCACCATTCTTGACCTCTGCATTATGAAGGTGAGTGGTAAGCTTCACTCCCTACCGCTTTACACCCGGGGATGGAGCCCGCGGCACCCATTGGGTGGGCTCCAGAGCTGGTATGGACGCTGTGGAGAAGAGAAAAATCACTGCCGGGAATCGAACCCGCCCCGTCGCTATACCGATTAAGATGTCCCGACTCATTTTATTATATAGGTAAAGGTGAGTTCGGTGGAGGTGAGGCCCCACTGGGAAACAGCCTCCGGTATCCGCGTATATGATGCTGGGTGGAACGCTGAGCCGATGTGGACGCCGTGATGAAAATGATCTCTTGCTTATGCTTGGAATGGAACCTAGATCCGCCGATTGGTCAGTCAGTAGCTTGGTAGCTAGTTGTACACTGAGCTATCCCGGCTCCTCCCTCGTCATACAGTCGTACATATATAATTGAATGTAGCGTAAGGTAATGGACATTTCTCGGTTTGTGAAACCTTCAGATGCGAGTGAACTTCACAGTGACACATTATTACGTAACAAGTGCTGAACGCGAAGTAATTTGAATAGAATTGTGTGAGGTGGGAACTGAGGGCTGTGGGATTTCCTGGGTTCAGGAACCCACGAAAGGTCTTTTATTCTATTCGAGAAATTAAGTAGGAAAAAAAGATATGGCTGTTAAGGGCCCAGCTATTAATAGTGAACACTGTGAAGGCAGATTACTTTGATCTGGTAAGTCTGTGGATTTCATCATAATGCAGAGTGGAATACAATTTTAGGAGCCGGAATAGTGCAATTGGTGTAGCGACTGGCTGCTTGATGCAGATTATATTGGATAAATTTCAGTCGATAATAAATGCCCCAGTATCCACAGAATGATTAATTGGCGAATTTGTGCAATGAAACAAGTTTCTGCAACTCTTGCCCTCTCCCCCCCTCCCCCCCCTCTCCAGAACTTCGCCAGAAATTTAATCTTAAATTTGTTACTGGTAGGAAGGGAAACTTATCTCTGTGATATTGGCAGTACCATTTCAAAATTACGTGTTAAATAGAAGTTGAATGATACTATGCCAAGTATTATATTTTTTCTTATAGAAATGAGATACTTTCTTGTATACTTGTTTCAGAAATGTAACTTTCAAAATGTTTTCACTAAAGTGGCAATTTACGGACAAGACGAACCGGGATTCGGTCCCCAAAATCAGTGGGGTTCTCCTCTCCGTACCGCATCCAGGTCGTCCCTGGAACCACCATAGTCCCCGTTTACTTGCGTATTTATCGTTTCTTACTTTCATATTCTCGACGCGCATGTGCGTAGGGACAGCTTATCACTATTACAGGGCCTGATCCGAAATGAGTAAACATTGTTGGTGGGGCATTAACACCGAGTTGGCGGAAGTCCTTGAGAGCAAGTAGCCTATTTATATGGGCAAAAAAAAAAAAAAAAAAAGGAACACGCTTTCTGAAACAGACGCTGTCAAAGCTGTGGAGTTGCGAATGCTTCAAACTGTATATTGACATAGTGAAACAGCTCACTGTATGTCGTGTGTTTGTGACTTCTAGGTGTGGTATTTGACCTCTGTGTTTGTATGTACACGGTTTAGGATGAGGGCGGAATTGCTGTAGTTGGCAGATGCGTATAGGGTTTTGGTGGGAAAGCCCGGAAGGAAAGAGACCTCCAGGAAAACTAGACGTACTCAGAATTACTGGGTTCTTGGACTTTGGCCATCGTCCAATATTCTAGAAACTAGAAAACATAACGTTTCGGAAACTGGAACTGTCCTAAGGGACCCAATAGAGTAGGTGTCTCTCCCCACCTTGACCTGAGGATGGAAACAGATCCAGTTTCCGAAACGTTGTGTTTTCCAGTTTCTAAAATATCGAACGAAGGGTAAAGTCCGAAAACCAGTAATTCTCAGTATTATATACCATCGTCAGAACACTTTATAATCTACAGAACAGACATAATTGGGAGGGTAATATTAAAACGAATCATAGAGAAATAGGATGAGATGATGGAACTCGGTAGCCTGTAGTCCGCAAGTGAACTATACCGACCGAGCGACCGCCTCTTGTCGTCAAAGTTAGTGCCAACTTTTGTCGATAGAGGAAGTCGCGTGGTCAGCGCAATGAATCCCCACGGCCGTTAATCTCGAGTTTCTAGACCGGAGCCGCTCTTTCCTTGAAATAGCTCCTCAGTTATCCTCACGAGGCTGAGTGGACTCCGATCAGGACCCACTACTTCTCAGAAAATCTTGTAGCGCAGGGAATCGAACCCGGGAGCTCTGGATCTGTAGCCAGGAACTCTGACCACAGAGGCGGTCCGGGACGGTGGTATTGACGGAACTAACATCGCTTATGCGGGCTCTTGTGAACACGGCATTGA